CCCAAGCTCCGCATCCTGCCCAAATCCCAGCGAGCGGGGATCTCCGCTGCCCTCAAGACCAGCAGCCTTGTGAGAGCGTGTTGGGGGCAAGCAGGGACTGGGCTGGGATTGCTTGGAGGGAAGGAAGGAGCGGCCACGGCAGAATCTGAACTGGTGAGCGCCCGCTCTCACAGCTCCATCAGGCCTGGGACGCAGGCAAGGCTGGCGTCATCGTGGGGACGGTGGATGGGGTGACACAGGGCAGGTCCTTGTGGGTGACTAGCTCGAATCTGAGTGTGACTCTCTGCAAATTTGTGCAGTGACTTTGCTGCTGATTCCGTTCAAAACGTGAAGCTGAGGCTTTTCCACCCCCAGTGCCCAAGTCTGATGTCTGACGAGCGGCGTGGTGCTGCTCCTGTGGGACTGATCGGGCTTTGCTACTGGGGCTGATGGCAGAAGCTTCTGCCGTGTGGTGGGATGAGGCCACTCCCAGGCCTCAGCTGGGCTCTTTCTTTGCAGCCACATAAGGAATTCTCTTGCAATAGCGGCGTTGTCATGGGAACGTGTGTGTTTCTCCCAGCTTGCTGGAGCCTCGCTACATGGGAGAGAACCAGTGTTCCCAGTGTAGTGGCATCTTGTACTCACCCTGTGGCCTGGCCCTTGTGTCCTGAGGAATGTCCCTGTTAGATCTCTGTGGCCTGGGGAAGCGACGGTGAGCCTCGAAGGCCGAGGCGAGCTCTGCCCTTGGCTTGCGGGGCTCCTGGTAGCTCCCTGACTCAGGGCTGCCTTCCTGAAGGAAGCACGGTGTAATGGGAACATGCTGCTTGGCAGCGGGGCTGCCTGGAAGTGTCACCCCTGTGCTCTGGGGAAGCCTGACAGCTTCAGCTGTATCCAGTGAGGAGAAGCAGAAAGAGAGGTGTAAGAGCCTTTCTGCAGAGAGATAGAAGCACTTCCTTAAAAGCAAGGGTGGTTTTTTTGGGTGGGTTAAGCGCTGCCTGCAGGAAGTCAGGGCTAAATGATGTGGTTCAGGGGGTCAGGAAATGGAGGCCTGCTGTGCGGGCGTGTCTCCATCCCCTGGGAGAAGGAGGAGGCTCTCCACCTTGACAGCTCATTGCCTCTTTAGTAGGCGAAAGATGTGTGTCAAGCAGTCTCCTTCCCAGTTCTGTTTAACGTATCATTCCGTTCCTCTTTGAGTAGACCACTTCCTCCTTCAGAGGAACGTGCTGGGGGGGCTGGCTCTGGGGCAGCACGCTGCCTTGGTTGAGCATCAAAGTGTTGCGGGCTTCCCTGGTGAAGTGCAGGGTGTGCCGGCATGGGAGCTCCTCTTCAACTTGTGTTCTCACAACCTGGTCTTGAAACATGCTGTGGGGTGGTGCCGATCGCCTTGCTGCTGACCAGGGGGAAGAGCTCGGACAGCCTCTCCTGGGAACTGAGCGTGATTTGTGTCGGACCCTGCTAAAACACTGGCTTCTTTCATCGCTCTGCTCCTCCCTCCTTGGGCATGGTTAGAAGCAGCATGTCCTTGCAGGCTGCTTTGTTACAAATAGCTGGGATATTTCATATATGCCTGGCATGTGCCTGTGCACAGGTCTCTGTAAAAGATCACAGTGCTGCCCTGAAATGGCTGCAGCCTTGTCCATCTTTGTACCAGTGCAGTAATGCTGCTGGAGAGCAGGATTCTAGGTTCCCCTGGGGTGGCTCAGGTGGGATGTTAGTGTCCCCAGAGTGTCTAGGCTTCCCCCCAGGCTCTGGTCGGTGATGCAGACTAGGCCGTAAGCAGTGCTGCTGTAACAGGCCTGGCTGGGGGGATGTGATGGCTTCTGATGTCTGCTGATTCATTAAAGCCTTGGTCACTTTTGTGGTCATGTTTCTGGCAAATGCACAGCGCCTGCGGGCTCTCGGCAATTTCACCGGCTCCTGACATGTACAACTGCACTGAGGTGGTTGTCTGCATGTGGCTGTTACTGGGGAACAGCCTCCTCAACCTGTCTCAAGACTGGATTGAGCCTTTTGCTCTTTCTCTGGGTTATTAGTGAATCACTGGGAGGAAGGAAGCCTAAGGCACAGCTGGCTCTCCGGGGCTTGAGCTGCTGGGGTTGTGGGCACTACAGTGATCGGCCGAGCCCTGCTGCTGCCCTGGGTTGGGGCAGCGCTGTAGAAAGCACAGCCTGCCAGTGCCCTGACACAGCTTGGCAGACCTCTGAACCTGAAGCTGTTAATCTTTCTCACGTTGCTGACGAGAAGGCTTGTTTTAAGCAACTCTCACGTTCAGATCACATGAGTAAACTGACTTTGTGCTAAATGGTAGCTGTCACAGAGCTCTGGTGTGGTGGATAAATAGGACTGTGATTGATGGCCTGGCAGGATTAGAGCAGCTGCAGAGAAGACCCATTAGCGTAAGTCATCTACTTAGTGTTTATGGCTTAAACTGTCACGTCAGCTCAAGCTGACAGGCGAGAAACCTGCAGGATGACTGCTGCATGGAGAAAGCGTGTGTGTGTGTGAAATGTTGCGAAGCTTAACCTGCGTGCAAGCGCATGGGAGTGCAGCCTCTGTGAGAAAATGGATAAAGCACCCTGGCTTTGTTTTGGCTTCCTATGTGCTGCCGCTGACCTGAAGGCAGACCTCAGCTGCCCTGCACTGACTGCTAAACCTGCCACAGACTGAGTCATCCTCATCTGCTCCCTCTAGGCTGAGGCAGAAGTGGCATCTTTGAATCGCCGTATCCAGCTGGTAGAGGAGGAGTTAGACCGAGCCCAGGAGCGCCTTGCCACAGCTCTGCAGAAGCTGGAAGAGGCAGAGAAGGCTGCAGATGAAAGTGAAAGGTGAGCAAGGGCTGCAGCTCTCACTCTGTCAAACATCTCAGATGTGTTCCTGACTGAGGGCCCAGTGCCATCAACCTCTTGGGCTTCCTGGAGGGTAGGAAGTAGATACCACATCAAGGCTGGATGTGGGAGTTAATACCCGCTTATGCGGAGCAACTAAAACAATGCTCTTGGCCTTGTGTGAGTATCTTGGAACCTGAGGCTAAGGAGCAAGTAAGTGCTGTGTACTACCATGCATCCCCGCCTCCAAGGGAGGAGAAATAAGTGGGTTCTGGGACACCGCTGACTTGTAAAGGTGGCTGCTGGTGGGGCACCCTCTCTTCCTGCTGCCTCTGCCAGCATCCTCCCTTCTGGCAGACGTCCCCTGACCTGGTGGTGTGAGTCAGAGGGGAGCGGTCCACTTCCAGTTGGCTGGTGTGCCTCATCGGTGCACAGTGAGCAGCCTGACCCAGCTGATGTCCTGCCATAAAGATGGACTTGGCTCTTCCTGCGTTCCAGCCTGGAAAGGACTTGGCTCAGCCGTGTGGAGTCCCTAAGACAGCCTGGCTTGTTCTTCTCAGCAGCACCACATTTCCCTTGGTCCAGGAGCCCAATGAGCTGCTGGAGTAACGCTCCAAGGAACAGTTAATTCTGAGCAATCAAGGTTGCTGTATCTGCATCAGCCCAGCGGTGTCTGCCTTCCTGTGCTACCCTCTGCACTCGGAGGTGTCATGGCTCGTAAGGAAGCAACGTGGTGCCAGGGGAGCACTGTTAATGCTCTGAAACTCATTACACCGCTGGCTTGTACAGGATTGTTTTATACATCTCCCCTCCCTGTGCTTTCTTTTGGGCAGAGGCATGAAAGTCATTGAAAACAGAGCTCTGAAGGATGAGGAGAAGATGGAACTGCAGGAGATCCAGCTCAAGGAAGCCAAGCACATTGCAGAGGAGGCGGACAGGAAGTATGAGGAGGTGAGACCCTTGGATGCTCTAGTACAGCTGACCCTGGCCAGGAGAGGCAGCTCCTCTTCCTGCGAGGAGAGCCTGGCTCACAGCAGAGCTACGTCAGTGTTCCCCTTAGCCAAAAGACTCTGGCAGCTCCAGTGACTCCTGCAGGTGTTCCCTTTACTGCCTTGCACAGCCTCCAAGTACAAAAATCGTCTTCCTTCCTCTTAATTCTGATTCTCCCTTCCAGGTTGCTCGGAAACTGGTGATCATAGAAGGAGATCTGGAGCGTACCGAAGAGAGAGCTGAGCTTGCAGAATCGTGAGTAATCTGCTTGCATGTAACTGGCATGTCTACCTTTGCATGGGAACTAACACAGGATTTCTAACCTTGTTACACAAGGCCTGAAGCACAGGGTGGGTTTAGATCCTCAAATGAAAGAGTTGGAAGCACTCTTCTGCTCGGAACAGGATTGGGTCCACTGAGGATATGGAGTTTGTGATTTGTGATTTGCCTTGTAGTGGAGATGGTCTGCCCCTTTGCATGGAGGGACTCCCTAGTTAGCAAGGCCAGAGAATCCTTCTCCACTTGGTATTCACCAGCACTGCTTTGTACGTATGGTCACGAGATCCTTACACGTTGCTACGGGGCACGTCAGTGCACAGCACTTGTCCTAAAGTGGCAGAGGCCTCCCGCGCTGGGAGCTGAAGTGGCATGCGGGATGTCCAAGGGCAGAACTGTGGCTGAGGTTGGTCTCTGGCCTCTTAAAATATTTGCAGTGATCACCACAGACTTCTGCACTGCTGAGCCGCAAGCTGGACTTCCTCTGCTCGGAGCAGACACATAAATTGTGGTATCTGGGCTCCTTTCACATGGCTGGATGCTTTAGCTGATCCTTGAGGAGCTGGTCAGGGCCTTCCTGTACTCTGGGCCTTGTCTAACAAAGTTAGTGTGTACGCAGCAATAGCACTGTGCTTCCTGCCCAGACATGCATGTCATGACCATGACTTTTTTGTGTTTTTCCCCGACACCCCTTTTTTACTCTGCGGTATTGTGTTATTGGTGCTCCTTTTGACCCTTGCCCCCACCTGGCTTGTGCCATCGTGTGATCGTCACTAACAGTCGTTGCCGGGAGCTGCAGGAGCAGATCAGAGTGATGGACCAGAACTTGAAGTGTCTGTCTGTTGCCGAAGAAAAGGTACTAACCTTTCCCTCCTTGAACCATTAAACCAGAACTCTTGTGGTCTTCTTGCTATGCTCCTTCCCTCAGCTTAACTGCATCTTTCTCTCTCCTGGAATGTTCTGTCCTCTCTGCCCATAAATATTCCTGTCTGAGTGGTGGTGGCTGTCCATGTGTCTGTCAGAACAGCTTCCCTCCTTACAGCAAACTAAACATGCAGTTTCTACTTGAAGACTCCAGGTCCGGCAGAAATCTGTGTCCACGTCTCAGCTGCTCAGCTCAGTGCCCTGTGCGTGTGCTGGCAGAATTCTTAAAATATGAACTTGGGAGGCAGGAAGGGAACTTGCTTTCTGCACAAGTGCCTCAAAGCAGGGTCCCATCCAGTCTGATTGCAGACCGTCTCCTAAAGAACTTCCTCGTCTTCCCTGCACATGGATTCACTTCTTGTCTCTCCTGTCTTTCCCTCCCGCTTCTTTTCCTTTTTCTCTCCCCTTTCTTTACGAAACCCCACAGTAAATGTTCCGAGCTGGAAGAAGAGTTGAAGAATGTCACCAACAATCTCAAGTCTCTTGAGGCTCAGGCTGAGAAGGTAGGGCTGCTTGTCCAAGGGCCAGAAACGCGTCTGTTTTGCTAGGAGGGTGTGTGACAGCAGAACACCCACTGGGATAGAAATGATGCAACTGCAGCCTTAAGCAAACAAGGAGAGCTGTGTTTGCTCTCCCAGGAGAGCTAACGGATTTCAGTGCAGGGCTAATGTTGACTGTAGAAGCTGGGAGCGCGGGAGGTCTGGCTGCCCTTCCCTGCCTTGGGGCAGACTCGATCGGCCAAGATGTTTATGCTGCTGGAATGAGAATTTTCCTGCACCCAAGTTTGTTACGTGGGTAACATGATGTGGGACTTGCTGCCTGACCCAGTTCTGTTGGACTAGGGTAGGGATGTGAATAACTCCTAGTTGGAAGTTTCTGTGGGCATGTGCACTGCAGTGAGGAGTTTAAGTCTCCCTCTGTAGCTGTGGGCTCTCTGGAGTGGGAGGTACCTGGGGCTGCTGAAGGCTGCTGATTGCTGACTCCTCTCGTTTTCCACAGTACTCTCAAAAAGAGGATAAATACGAAGAAGAGATCAAGATCCTGACTGATAAACTCAAAGAGGTGAGTGACCATGTCAGGATGGCCCAGCTGGGTGAGCTGGCCTCAGCTTGACTGGGGAGAGCCGTGGAGGGTGGGAGACTTCATGTCCTCAGGCTGATGCCTCTGTAGTCCTTTGCTGTATCCCAAAGCTGTTGTACTAACTGGCTCGCTTCTGTCTGGCAGGCGGAGACCCGTGCTGAATTTGCTGAACGGTCTGTAGCCAAGCTGGAGAAGACCATTGATGATTTGGAAGGTACATTCTGGGGATGGGAAGCCAAAGCATACGTGGTGAGGAATGGGGAGCTGAGGAAGACTATCTCCTAGATAGCTGGAGAGTGGAGATGCTGCTCTGCTTCTCAATACTTGGAGCATGACCTAACTCAGCCAAGGTGAGGCTTGGTGCCTCTGGAGTCATGCCCTGTGTATCTACTCTGAAAACAGTTCCCTGGCTGTGCTGCGGCAGGTATCAAGCTCTTGATCCAAACACCTTGCCATATCTGACTGATAGTGACAGATAGCGTGGCTGGTGTATCTTGGTTGTGATGTCCTCAGGAATGTAACTGGATTCCTATGCTCCAGTTTAACCCAATTTAAGGAGTGGCATAGGAAAAAAATGCCTGAACTCAACAGGAATTGGTTACAATAACATACTTGTGTGCAGAATTTCATGCACGTGGCTGTCTGCTGCAGACAGTGTTCCTGCAAGTCAACCACAGTAGTCAGTGAGTCTTGAAACAGCCCCTGTGAAGACTCAGACTCCCCAATGTCGGTCCTGGTTCAAGATTAAATCACCAGAAGCCCCATCCATTCAGTGTGGTGGTCAGCCTGTGCCAAGGATGGGTTCCTTTCCTCCTCCTGTTCCTGGTTTCACAGTGCTTCAGAAGCACTCCTGAGGCCAGCTGATGCAGAATCCTACCTTTTCCCAAGCCATGGAAGGAGAAGGTTCCAACTGCCTCCCTTAAATCTGGGTCTGTGGCTGGATTCTTCTGTGGATAGCTGTGGCTGGAGTGGTGGTGCTGGTAAACCAAAACTCTTACAGGCCTCCTGCCTCAACCACAGCATGTACCTTTGTGGTCTTTTAGTGCCAGGTCTTGGAGATTCAAAGCCACGTCCTACCGTCTGGAGTCACTCAGGAGGTTTTCTATCTAGAAATAGCAATGGTGTCAGCTGAGCTGTTCCAGAACTGCAGCCAAGCAGCAATCTGAGCCACTTCATGATCCAGGGCAAGCTTTTATTGGGAACTGCAAAAACTCCTCCAAATCCCTGCATGCTCCCCTTGAAACACGTTGAACGAGAGTTGGCTCCGGTCTCCAGCCTTGCTGCTGAAGTGACCTAGTTTATGACAACTGACAAAGTTCTCTGGGCTCTGTGAAGCCGTTAACAACATTACCAGCTGTACTGTAGCTTAGGCAGCCGGAGGTGGGAGCAGTCTGTGCCAGCTCTACACAATGCTCAAGGAGTGCATCAGTAAGAGTTTCAGGACTGCCTCCTCCCCTGAAGGCGGGTGATCTGCCTGTCTGCTCCATTATCTGATGGAGAACACAGGTGTGGCCTGTCTGTTCGGCTCACCCTGCCTAGCTGTGTACTACAGAATGGGAATTCCCTCTGATGCCCAGGACTATTACGTGACTGACTTCTCCCAAGCCGGTTTTTGTATTGAGGCTGAAGGTGGGAACTAAGCACCTCAGTTGATCTGTGCCTTCCTTAGGTGTAGCAAGCTTCTGCCTAAGAGGATGGAGTTGCCCTTCCCTGCTACTCTTCCTGTCAGTGGTTCTTGCTGACCTAGCTGGGCAGCTTGTTCTCACAAGCTGATGTGGTTTGAGTTCTTGGCTCTGCTCCCCTTGGAGCTGGGGAGCTTGTATTCCTGGAAGGCACTTGCTGGTCAGACTGTCCTCAGGCTGTTGGAACCCTCCTGTTCATTGTTGGGAACTAATACGGAGTCGTGATGTCTCCACATCTAACTTCATTTTCTTCTGTTCATGAATCCCATGCTGCTTTTCCTGCCCCAGGGTGTTGGAAGAACTCCTCTGCCTTCCCTCATTGTTTCCCTTTTGTTCTCCTCCTAAACCTCTTCTAGATGAGCTCTATGCCCAGAAACTGAAGTACAAAGCAATTAGTGAGGAACTGGACCACGCCCTGAATGACATGACTTCCATGTAAATATGAGCTGGCTGGTGTTCGCCTCTCGCTTCAGCAGGCTAGACCGCCAGAGCTTGCTTGGTTTGCTGTGATTTTCATAGTTGGAGAATCAATGGCACTGTCTAGGTTACTTCTACAGATCTCTGCCTCCAGGATTGTGGAGGCTTCCCTGCAGCATGCTGTACTCCTAACTCTAGGTCCTTGTGATCTGCATGTGTAACACTAAGTGCTGTGTTGGCCTGAAGGGGTTCTGACTTGAACTCTGAGTGCAATTCCCAGTCCTGCTGGGAAGGGCTTCCTAAGGTAATGTGGCTTAGTTGCCTGCTGGAGCCACTGGGCCATGGTCTTGGGATTCCTCCTGGAAGAGGCTGTGGATAGTGCTCGAGTGGATTCCTTAGGAATTGCTGTAACAGGCTTGAGATGGGCTGGATCATGAACTGATCTGTGGAAGTAGCTGAACTCGTATGTTTCTGCAACTTTGCTACTTGGCTTTTTGTTCAGATTTGCGGTGGGTTCTGCTAACAGCTGCTCCGCACAGTCCTTACCACTAACCAAGGAGAGGTCAGGTACTTGCACTGCAGAGGAACAGCCTTAACGCTAGCATCTGAAAGCTCCCTAAGCAAAGTTTGCTGTGCACAAACACTTAAGCTTCTCTTAAAATTAGTGTCTCCTTCTGTCTCACACAGATAAGTCTTGTGATTCCAAACGCCACTTTGGATTTGCCTCTCTGCTTGGTGGCTTGTTCTGCATCTGCACCCTGCATTCATGCTCTCGTCATCTTGCTCTGAATTCCAGTACCTTTTTCCAGTTATTGTGCACAGGGCATCCCTGGGAACGAGTGCTGTAAAGACGCTGAAGCTTGACAGCAGCAGCAGCAGCCCCCTAGTTATGCTGCACTGGCTCCTAAACAAAGCTCGCTCTGTTTGGCCCGATGTGCCAGACACTGCTGTGCTCTGAGGGGCTGCCCTTTCAATGTCTGGGCATAGCTGGGAGTATGTTGTTCTCATCTGCATATCTTGTGTAGAGCCATAAAGCTCCTTTTGTATTTCTCTTGCCTCTTGCTTGAGCATGATGTCACTTTTTTAAGGAAAACAATTCGTGTATAAATTGAATGGAACGGCTGGTGCTTTTGAGAAATGGGTTTCTAGTGACCACTTGCTGCTTTAGAGTAACTGTTTCAATGTTGCGTTCAAACCGGTGTAACCCTCAGCACCCTTGGTGGATGGAATACACATACTTCATTAACACACTGGATTTTTCCCTTTGAGTGTCTTATTGGCTCACAGATGTGAATTGCAGCTCTGCAAATGGTGCCTCGGCACGCAGCATGCTCTTGTAGGGTCAAATGGGAGGCTGGGGTTTGTAGCAGGAAGTCCTCGAGCTGTGCCTGCTTCAGCCTGGCTGAAGACACTCCTCACACCTGCCTGCTCGGTAGTGTTCACCAGCATCGGTTGCCAAATGCTGGCTCGCAGTGGGAAGTCACCACACCTGATAGTCACTAGGTCACTGGCAGGGGGTGAAGCTAATAAATATCAAGTGAGCTCTGGCTGGTTTCCAGTTGGACAGGACTGGTTGGGTGCAAGGTGCTGCCTGTGCCTGTGGGGGGGATGGATGGCCCCTTGCTTCAGGAATGGGGATGTCACTGCAACAGGGCTGTGGGCATCCGAACCAAGGAATCCGTGTTTTGCGGAGTCCTCCCCTCCCCATGCAGGGGCTGAGGGTGACGGGATCCTCCTGGGAGTGTGGCATGGAGCTTTACACTGAGCACTGCAGCTGGTGGCAGGCTGCAGACACTTGATGTGTGTCACCGCTGGTCTGAGTCTGTTGCTAGTTGCTCTGGTATCATAGACACTGATCAGCCTCTCATAACTGTATGTGCTGCCTCGTGGTGGCTTGTCAAATACTTTTTCCCTTCTGGTTTGGTTCATCTGCCACAGTGCCCGAAGAGCTCTTCATGAACAGAGTTTTGATGAAATGGGACACCTCCCGTGGTTTCCTCAGGTTTGTGTCACTCCGTTCTCCACACAAATGGCACTAGCAGTAAGGATAGTCCAGACACGCTGAACTGCCCCAGCCTGTTCTCACTCTATCTTCTGTGTCAGGGCTATCCCCTCTCTGCTGGGTCTGGGTGGGGAAGGAGGGAGCACTCCTGCAAGGAATTTCAAAGGGTGGTAGCTTGGAAAGCTCTGGCAGATGGTGGTCTGACTCTCCTGGGGAATGGGGCAGTAACTCTGTGCCCTGTAAGCACGAACCCATAACTCCTCGTAACCAAAGCTGCAGCTGGAGTAGGGGCTCTAGATCCTGTGGGAGGGGCAGGGCTTCTGTCACAAGTGTCTGAGTGTGTGGAGGCTTCCAGCCCAGCATTCAGTTGCCAGCTCTTACCAGGTGGGAGGTGGCACCTTGCCCTTGTGAAATGGCCTCTCTCCTCATGGGGACATCCTGTCAGCTGCAGGTTTATTACTGACTCGCGCTGTGTGGAGCTGGTGGTTCTGCTGTTGCACAGTGGTGTTGCAAGCGATGTTATTGAAGGCTGGGCTGTGGCAGGCCCTTTGCCTGCTTGTCCTGATGGAACTCCACACTGAGTGGTGGATGGATGGATGGTGGGTGATGCAACTTCTGCCCTGGGAGGTTTTGAGAGGCTTCTGGTCTGACTGGATTGCTAGGCTTGTGCGGGCTGGTTATCGTGAGCTGGGCTGTTGACTCAGGAGTGCTGCCAATGCAGATTAGCTGACCAGGAGGCACAAGTCCTGGAGCTCCCCAGGTTGCAGGGATGGCTGGTAAGGCTGCCCTGAGGGTTGGGTGGAGAAGGGAGCAGGCCAAACACTGGAGCTAGCCCCAGCAGACCTGGGCAAGCGTTCAATGTTGAGGAGCTGTTCCTGAGATCTAGGAAGGATCATGCTAATTACTTTAGTCAGTCTGCTCCCTCATGGGGGTGGGTCATCAGGTCCCTGTCCACAAGCAGTAACGCTTCCTTGAAGGCTGTGAGCCATTGAACCAGCCTACAGTCACTGGTACTTCTGACTGCAGTTCACTCCCATCCTCTGACACTCTGGAGATCCAGGACCAGCCCTGATCACCTGTGGCTGGAGACTGGCATCAGGGTGCCCAGCCTACCTGCTCAGAGCCAGCATGGAGGCCAGAGAGCGAGTCCCTAGCAGCAGTAGTAGCTGATGTGCAAGGTGGGCTCTGGTGTAGGCCAGGATGGGGTGTACCTGTCCCCCATACCACAACTTCCTTCAACTTCTAGTTAGATTGCGGTGGGACAGAAATTGTTGGCTTCTCTGGCTGTTGCTTGGTCCCTCGGTGGCTTTAAAGAAGGGACAATCAATCGTACTACCCCCTGTCCTGCGGAGTGGCATGCAGCTAGAGCAGGTGCTGAGGGCTGAGAGGAGCTGAGGGTAGCTGGGTGAAGGTGAGCTTCCCCCCTTGTGTGCAGCTGTCATGGAGGATCTGGGCTGAGACTCTCTGGAGAGGGGGACATGCTTTGGCTGCTCCGTGTGAACAGCTTGACTCAGTGTCCTGAATCTTACCTGGCCAGGTCTTGTTCAAGAGCACAATATTCCTAGGTTGAAAGCAATGAGGAATGGTGTAGATCCCCTTCAGAGTGTGCCCTAGATTCCTAGGGACCTTGTAGTACAAGGATTTGAGAAGGAGCCTAAGGCCAGCAAGAATTGCTGTGCTTCACGCTTGCTCATCAGGCAGAGGCAGCATGCTGTGTGATGATTAGTTCTGCCAGGCTGGAAGCTGTCGTATAAGGATTTTTCACTGCCTGGAATTCCCCAAATGCAGGGGTTGGAGTTGTCAGGCTGGGAGGACCCTGCCTGTGTAGATGGGCAGAGATAGATGCTGAACTGGTTCTCTGCGGTGGCTGGTTGTGGCTGACAGGCTGTATGGCAGGACAGTGGCCATCCAGCCCCGAGAGGTGACCTTTCCTGGGAGAGGATCAGACTGGTTCTCCCTTTCCCTGGAGTTGCTGATGAGTACATGTGCTTGGCACCAGCCTTGGGGATGAGTATGGCCGCTGGAGCCCAGCGAGGGTGTAAGGACAGGGACTGGGTGGGAGGTGAAGGCTGTCAGATGCCGTGGCAGTTTGTGCCCCGCTCATTTAGTTGTTCTGGGCCAGACATAAAATAGGAGTGTGTGCTCCAGAACTTCCTCTGTCCTGTACCTGAAGCTAATACTGCCTTCAGTCCTTGTCTAGACATGGTGGGTTGTTAGTGTGGCACAAAGGCATGTCTTTGGAGGAGTGTCCTCCAGGTCAGGTATGAGATGCTGTCATTCTTAGTTCTTCTGGTGACCCTGTCCTACTGTTAAAACCCCATCAATCCCACTGCTGTGTGGTGTGGCTCACTCTGGAAGGTGCTTCTGGTTCAGCTGTGGTAGGACTGCTTCTTTCTGCAAAGTGCTCCACAGGCTTAAAGCACATCCCAAATCTCTCTCCTTACCTGGGTACAGCCCAGCCTGCAGGCTCCTCTTCTGGTGTTCTCTTCTTCCTCTCTCTGCCTTTGCAAGCCCTTGGCAGCACTTCCATTTCTGCCTGCACTTGGTTTTCTCTGTGATCCTTCTGAGCTGAAACGCAAGTTAGAGTAAGACAAACCTTTGTTCTCCCGGGCTTCATCTGTGTAATAGCCTAGACTTGATCCTCAGAGGATCGCGTTATGGAGACAGCTTATTTGATGTGCTCATCTTGGTACTCTACTAACCTTCCCTTTCTCTCTTTTTCTCTCTTCCTCTTGTTTCCCCTAATCCTGTTGCTGCTGCAGAGCGCCTGTACAGCCAGCTTGAGAAAAATCGCCTGCTCTCTAACGAGCTGAAGTTAACGCTGCATGATCTGTGTGACTGAGAAGGGGGCCCACTAATGCCATTAAACAAGCTTATTGCGACCACCAATGCTGTGGACCACAGTGAAATCTGATCATTCTTAAGACTGGCAGACTTGCAAAGTTTATGCAATTGCTGCTATTTAATGGGGCACTTGAATTTATCCTCTAATTTATTTAAGAGTGTTTTTTTTTATAAAGGTAACCTCTATTCTTGGTGAAATAACCCTCAGACTTGGCTGTTTTTTGAGCAGTCTTGTTCACTTGCCCAGGGGGTCCTGCCTGGCTCCTCCATGGAACCAGAATGGCTGCACCCACCAAGAGAGGGGTGGGGTGAAGTTAGGCTTATGTCTGCTAAAAGATGCCTGTCAAGTGCTACAGCTTAATTTACTGTTAGCTCAATGACTGTAGGATTTCCTGCTGCATGGAATGATGGCTTGTAACAATAAATGACTGACCTCATTGTCTGCAAGACACTGCACACCTGTAGTACTTTCCTATATAGTTGAGTCCTAACCTAGAAGGTTTGGGGGAAGTGGTCATTCCCGGGGCCTGACCACAGTGCAGCTGCAGAGCCCCAGAACGGGTTGGGAAAGCTCATGGACATCTTGAAAGCAAGTCCCAAAATCCACAGCATGAAGCTGTGTCTTGAGTGCCTGCAGGGAATCTAAACGCTGCAGTTGCTAGTGCTCTAGGAAGGCTGCTTCTTGCTCTGTGCACAGTTTCTGACTCTGGGGAGGTTGGGGAGTGGCTTTGAGAAAACTGCCTGTACCTAAAGGACATCTTTCTACAGCCTGTCTGTCCAGTGTCCCAGCGTGTGGATCTCTTCAGTGATAAGGGTGGGCTCACCTTTGGAGTAAAGCCTACCTAGAGCGCTAGTTGCTGATCTGAGCTCTCCTCCTGGCTTAAGGAACATGTGAGAATTGACTGTGCAGCTGCCTGTAGTCTCGGGCAGAGTTGCAGCACCCTCGCTCCTACTTGCTCCCTGCCTGCCCTTCACTGAAAACAGCCTCTTCCCTGCTGTCCTTGAGGCATGGTTGTCTGCTCCCTGCTGCTAGGTAGTTACGGTCTTGGTGACCAGCTTGGCATCTCTGTCCTGTGCTGGGGGGAAGAGGGGCACAACCAGCTGTAATTCCAGGGGGTGATTTCTGAGTGTGTTTTACCTCCGCGTTGCTCTTGAGTGCCTTGCTGGGCCACGGGGGTCTGCTGTCTGGAAGTGTTGAAGCCCTGGGGAAAGCTAGCTACAGTCGGAGGCACCTGCATGCAAACACTGCCTAGAGCCCTGGCTAAAAGTACATCGTGACCGTGCTGACTGGGAGCACCGGCAATGCGAGAGGCAAGGGCTACAAATGAGCCAGGTAACTTCAGAGCTTCTAGCTGCACCCAGCCAGGCACCCCCGGTCTGAGGACTTGCTGCGGCAGCGTGCTGGGAAGGGGCTAGCGCAAGCTTTCTTTGGCGAAGGTTTCTCGGTTGTCTGAAGCTGTCTTGTAACTCTTGATTCTTGCTTCCTGCCAGATAAACTGAAATCCACCAAAGAGGAGCATCTCTGCACGCAAAGAATGCTGGACCAGACCCTGCTAGACCTGAACGAGATGTAATGGATCCCTGCCACTGCCTCTGCCACACGATGCCTGGGGGGGCCAGCCCAGCCGCTGCTGACCTCTAACCCTTGGGGACCAGAGTTTACTTTCTGTTGCCAACTTGACCAAACACAAATCTTCTCCTTCGCCTCAGGGTTAAAGGCCATCAGGTTGGGCAGAGCTTCAAACAGCGTTATTAAGGGAAATAAACAATGCAATAATGTTTGGGGAGCATGTTTGAGATGTATACATTTTGTAACTACCTTTTTTTGTAGCAAACATTCCAAATAACTCACGAGGCTGGTGAGCTACACTTCAAAGCTCTTGGCTTTAAAATTTGGTATTAACCTTCTGTTAATCAGCTCTGGGCCACCCTGCTTTGGCAGGAGGGGAAGAAGGGTGTGACGGTTCCTGGGTGTGGGCCACTGAATTGGAGTAGCCGGGCTAGGGATGGAAGCCTATTGGGAAAACTTCCTTTCCAGGAGCTGTTTGCCAAAAGAGCAGTTCAGTTTCTCAGCTTTAAGGTAACTGTGATGTGGAGAAGCAACTTGGGCAAAAGGAGATTTTTTTTTTTTAAAGCCAAGCCTGTTATCTGAACAATTGAACCTTTACAGGGGTTGTTTCCCTTCCCTACCCCTACTGTTGGCCGCTTCCTTTCCTGGTAGGCTTAGAGAAGCCACGGCCCCTCTAACCCATTGCTACACAGGGGTTGAATTTGCCTTCACTAAGTGCTGATGCACCAAGCTTTATTGCTCATTGCTGGGTTACACTTAACAGCTTAAGTACAACAGCCTTGTTTTCTTGGGGAAATTTTTTTTGCCTACCCTGAGGGAGGGAACCGAGGCCTTCCCTCCTGGCCAGGAGTCCTCTTAGTGTCTTAAGGTACAAGCCATCTTGTTGTGCATTGCTGATGTGTCGTTGTTGTGAGGCGTGAGTGTGGAGATGTGTCAAGCTCGCGGCGTGTAGCTTGTGCTCGAGCATGCTGCTTGGTTGTAGCAGTTTTAGTGGCCAATCTGGAGAAAAGAACCCTATCAAGTGTTTTGATACTAAATTGAAAAATTGTCTTACTGTCTTTTGAAATAAAACCAATCCCTCTACACTGCTGTCTGGCTGCAGAGCTTTACTGTGTGTGAGCGGCTCCATCTGGGCCTGCGGGAGAAGAGGGTGGGTCTGAAGACCGGGGCTTGTGCCCGTCCCTCGGGCAGGAGAGCGGGGGTGAGGTAAGGCCAGGCTCGCCGGCTTCTTCCCGGGCCCAGAGCCCAAAGCGGGGCTGTCCGGCCGAGTCCTCCCTCTTTCACCTCAGCGCTTCGAGGGAGGCGGGGGAGCCCGGTGGCGGCAGGGCGCATGCGCACGGCGCAGGCGGCGAGGCACGCACTACGCCTGGGCGGGAACGGGGATGGTGGGCGG